ATGTCAGTGTGTTCAGCTCACGTTTCCCCTGTCTCATCAGGTCAATTAGGTTCAGCCCTCCTGTTTGCCATTCTGCATTTTCCTCTGTGTGTATTTATAGTGTGTGCTCATCGCTGGTTTGTCTGTGTTACCTCCACGTGTCATCCCGTGTTCCACCACAGATGTTTTCCTCTGAGTTATGGTTTCATTTTTGTTTAGGTTTGTTCTTAGTTTCCATCCATCCCATCTCTGTTCTGTCTGTATTATCACCTCATGTAAATAAAGCCCACTCATTGCATCGTCAGTGCCTGCGATTGGGTCCTTTTCCCTTCAACCCCACACAACTCCCACTGCAGCAGTGACATAAACTAGCACTACTGGTGAACAATGGCCTGTGCAGTCAGTTTCTTGATCATTAATATGCAAATTTTTACAACCAATGATCAACAACTACTGATCAAAGACCACTGATCAATGGTCATGAGTGCCATTCACAGAGCATTGTGAGATGGGGAAAGATGTACCCTTAGGCCCGCTCCTCAATTCAGAAGGTGTGAATAGACTGTGGAGTCCTGGCCTGACAAGTTAGCTCTTCTGTGGTACATAGGGCCATTGATCAATCATTGCTGATCAATGGTCATTACAATTTGCATCTTAATGATCAAGAAACTGATCTCACAGCCCATTTTTCGCCAGTAGTGCTAGTTTAAGCCATTACGCAAATGTGCTGTTTATAAGGTTGGAAAAATTTGCAGGCAGTTGAGACCAAAGAACTCACACTGAAAATACTACGTCCAGATGAAGAGAATCAACTTTTTGGGTACATCTTGTGATGTTTCTTCTTTAAAAATCATGATACAGGACAATCTGTGTTTCACATAGTTTATGTTTTCATAGGGATTATTCAAATGGTTCCTGTCCATTGGCAAGTATTTTAAATAAATGCTCTCCTTTCACCTCCACTGTATTTTGGTGGATGCAAAAATTGTAAAAAAAAACCCCAAAAAAACAAAAACATACATAGTGTATTTCAGGTTTGTTGCAATTGAATTAAAAAATATTTGAGTAATCAAGGAATATTGAAATACCAGATTTGAGGTTAGTCTAGATAAAGTTTGTGTAAACTTAAATAACAGTAACTCAGTTTCTGCAGACAAAATAAAAGGACATTGACTAAGGCAGCCTATTTTTGCCTATTTTTCTACCAAGGGAACAATATAACACTATTTTTATTCTTTTGTGTTATAGCATTA